TTTTTTAAGGGAAAATAAAATGAATGCATCAAATATTGGAAATAGAGGGAAATTTCAATGGTGAAATAAGTGGCTCCTTTTTGCAAGGACGGAACTGGGACGCGCATGAAATCGATGCATAATTATTTTACAGTTGATTAAAATGGAACGCATAACGAATTTAAAGTGACGTAAAGGTTGACGACGCGCATAACTGGGTTAAAGTATCGCGCGTCAGTTTCCAACAGTTAACAACATGATTAGACGTGTGTAACTAAATCGTATTTAATTATTTTAATCGCGAGAGATGAGAATTAAAATCACACCGTGAACAGCGAGCGAGCCACGAAAAGTCAATGTTACAAACCATTTATTATCTATATTATCTAAAAAATAAAATAAGAACATTTCAACTGTGCGTACAAAAAGTATTCGTACTACATTGTCGTTGTATAGTCAATTATATCGCCAACGGGGGATCGTCGTGAGACAAATCTAACGGTCTAACGATTATAACGTCTAGACTACGAATTTTTGTACATTTACGGAAGATCCAAAAATACAAAAAAAAATTCACGTAACACGCAAAAATGTATAAAATATCAAAAATAGAGTGTTTATTGTAATATTTAATAGCGGAAACACATGTGTATATATATATATATATATACATACTAGGTTGATAAAAGTTTGAAATTACGATCTATCAATATCGTATTCAACTCCACTGACAGTTCATACGAGCGGATACGACCGAGAGGTTTTCAAATTTTATTCCTTTCGTTCTTTCACCAGCTACCCGTTCGTTACCAATGACCGTGGCCAGTGTGGATTCCACCGAAACCAGTCCCGTGGGTAGTAATTTTGCCAGAGGGGCCAGCGATTACCACAGAGCCGGCATGGGGGCCGGATACAGCGGCGCTTCCGGAATGTGGACCAGAAAGGACAGCGCCATGGGACGCTGGACCAGCGAGAATCGCACCATGCGATGCTGGTCCGGCAATTACCACTCCGTGACTACCGTGTCCTGCGTATCCAGCGTATCCGGGATATCCGGCGTAACCGTAGGCTGGACTGGCGTATCCTAGACCTAAAAGTCGAGACGTTTCGTAAGGAACAGGTAAATATTCAATATTTATAACATACTAATTTCTTAATGGTGGTAATGGTTATAGACCTTCGAAAGCGATGTTTGTTCACGTCACTCGCGAGATCATACGATGTACCATTTCTGTGCTTTCTGTTCTCTAAATTTGCAATGAAATTTAACTGTAGTAATTCGGAGAAATTATCTCTTTCAAAAATTTCTTTCAAAAATTTCTATCATGATTTGTGTTAATTGGAGTTGAAAAGATAATTGATATTCAATTCGTCGTATATGAATATACAAAGTACAGAAATACAGAAAACGAAAGGTATAGTATAATATATTTATCTGTTTCGTATGTTAATCAAGTACAGTGTTTCGAGATAAAGGGATTAATGTCAAGTGAGTCAAAGTTATTTATTACGTTTAATCGAGTACGGGCTATTCTTACTTATTCTATTTTAATTTGAATTTGAATCGTGGATTTTTATGTATCTTTTTTTACATAATAGAGAAATGCAAAATTATACAAAATGAGAATAAAGTACCAGTTTGCAAAAAATTTTTAAATGGTCATTAAAATATTAATCCACGATTAAAGCACGCAGATCTGAAGTTGAATCGTTCCATCAAAGTCCGCAAAATGAAATACGCAAAATTTAACATATATTGTAATATATCATATACAATTTAATTATATTACGTAAATATTCGCCCAATACGATTAAAGGGAAAGTGATCTAGAAAATCTGAAAAAAAATTAATTAATAGCAATATGAAATGATACAGTCACTCACCGACTCCACCGTCGTAGGGACCACCATAACCCTCCACGTGAGCTGGTCCAGCGACAGAAGCAGTAACAACGGCAGAGCCAGCAACAGCACCGGAGACATGAACCGGTCCAGCGATGGATCCAGAAAGCTTAGCTGGTCCTATGGAAGGAGCAGCCACCACAGTTGCTCCGAGATGAGGTCCAGCAACACTGGTTGGACCTAGAGCTGGTCCAGCGAGCGCCACACCGTGGCTGTATCCGAGATGACCTCCGTAATGTCCACCATGGTATCCACCGTAAATGGCTTCCCGGCGCAGTCGTGGTGCAGCTGCCACGAAGGCGAACAAAGTTCCCAGAATCAACTGGATATTCCAAAATTAATCGTAAGTTATCTCCAAATTTATACATTTATAAATTAGTGAACGATTTTGTTTAGCTGTTGGTATTGGTGTCAAAGCAGGAAAGTTAGTTCTACGTTCAATTTCTCATATCCACGCTATGAAACTTGAAGAAGTTCTTGAATAATCTTACTAGAATATTGATTTTTAATCAAACGTTAGTCTAAACTGCAAAAGTTTCCCGAAGTGGAGCACGTGGATATATAGCGTAGGTTTACTTCAATTCTGAAATTAATAAAGATTCGATGTTTAAAATTTGACGCTGTTGTGAACACGCGAGACGTAGAGTGTAATTAAATTTAATCCAGTTGAATTTGCACTAGAATATATTTGGTAAATTTGAATTTTTGAATTATTGTATCAAGAGTTTTATTTTGAGTTGCAATAGCTTTCGAAATAACACGCGCAGAATATAGAGTATGATCAAATTTAATCTACTTAAATTTTCAAATTATTCTATTTAGATCTTTCACCTTTAACCAGATTTTGAACGTTCACGAAGCGTTCAAATGTAATTGTTTCATTTAAGTTTCTTGGATCTCTCCAGTTACTTGAAATTCCCAAATTATTCAATCGAAATCTAACCTGCGAAATCCAATTTAAATGTGATTTCGAACTACAAAACTTTTGAAATTGAGAACGTCAGATAGAAAATACAGCCAAGTCTAGTGAAAGTTTCAAATTATTCCATTACGATCCGATTTTCAAAGTCAAACGTAACTTCCTTTGACAAGCTTCTAAGACAAAACACGCAGATACATTTAAACTAGGCGTTCAACTGAAATTTAAAATCTCTTCCATCCTCGCTGAAACTTCACCGTTTCTAAACATTATCAATAGCCTATCTTCGATCGTTGATAATTTCGAACCGCGACTAGCCACGACTGTACAAAATGCACGTTCACCAAACTTGAGTGAGATCGAACTTCTCTGGCGGTCCCACGCGGTGAGAAATCCATCCACTGTTCCGATATTCCGACGTTCCGCGGAATACTTACGAAGGCCTTCATCTTGCCGACCGACCGATTGCTGAGTGTGCCCACGGACGACTTGGTCGGACTTTATATACCACTCTAGGATCCCGACCGCGCCCCTGGTTGATCCCTTCAAATCATATCCGTTGATGGTGCAGCCACAGCCATTGTGCAAGAAGGTCAGCATCCGGCACACCCACCCTCAGGATGCTGGAGACCCTTGACTGACCTTCGACGATCATTCATTGTGAAACGATCGCTTCCACTGCGGGAAGCAGATTTTCTCTTCTCTTCTATTTGTATCGTTGTTTGGCTCTCGTCAGCGAATCAACGTGTCACCACAATTTAAACGATCTGAACTTAGGAATATATTCAACGCGAATAATATTATTAGGAAATATATTTAACGCGAATAATATTAGAAAACGAATATACGCAATATTATAAAGTTATGATTAAACATTAATTTAAATTAATGTAATGTAGTTATATAATTATTATAAGGTTTAATTTAAATTAAATCTTATAATACTATTTGTCGGGGGTGAAAATCTGAAAATATCAGAAACGTATTAATGATTAAATGAATATAAAATAAACTACGATATATGTACAATATATATTATACATTAATAATATATGTACAATATCCTAATAATATATGTACGGGATCCTAGAGTGGTAATATATGTACAATATATATTATACATTAATAATAATGTGTTAAAGTACGTGCATTACATTTTGATACATGTGTACGATAAAAATTGTACGGATTGAATCATGTAAATGTTAATTAAATGTGTATCTAATCCTTAGCTAGAATTGTTGGACTTTTGGAGCCATAGCAATTAAAACTTTTATATTATTTGACTTTAGAATTCTTTACTTGATTTAACGTTACAGTTTCTCTCGTATGAATTCCTATTTTTTTTTGAATATTTTAATATTTGCGTGTTATTACCGGGATAGAATGATATGGTTATCAACAATAATATTACACTCGAATATTGAGATATTTAAAAAATATTAAATAAGATTCACACAAAGAGAGGAAAAGTAGAAGTTCACATTACTGATTAATATCAAATGTAAAATGAAATCAAATGCCTAAAATTTTAGTGAAAGGACAATTCGTTTACAACTCAGTACCATTTAACTCTGGTTCTTTGTGTCATTTTCGATCTACTTGTATTTCTCTAAAAACTGAAAAGAATCTCAGGTTTCTCAACAAAATGTGAAAGAATACTTGTTGAACGTCCGAATCGTCCGAATTCTAACATCTTAAAAAATAATGAAACCTTATCTGCTAAATTGAAAGACAGATATACAAAAAATTCGAGGATCGCAGCAGAGTTTGAGGATTGAATACAAGCGAAACAGAAACTCTCTACTCTATTCGAAACGACGTAATTTATCTGTCGACTAACCTTAGTATAACCGCAACCTTAATAGGCGAAAACACTCGGTGAATGAAGATCGATTCACCGATCGAGTCACGACTCGACTCGAAAATCGATCGCCGCGTAGAATGTAAAATAGATTTGTCGTCTTCCCGTCACGATCCCTTTTTACGGCGCGGAACTTCGGACTAACTAGAAGGGTTAGGTTTGGGTTAGGTTTCTCAAACGGAACTTTTGGTATTCGTTCGGTGTGACCCCCTTTGTGTCGAGGGCGAACTTCGATCGTTCTTCGTTGCGCGTTGCAATGGGATCAGGCATTCCGTGAGAACCTTTCGTCTTCGTGAATCTCGCGTCGGTTCGATCGTTCGTTCGACTGGCAAAGCGAGCTCGTTTCATTAAACGCCCGAGCCTGGAACGAATCGAGCTCGGTTTCGAAGAAAAAGGAAAACTCATTCGTTTCCTTCAACGCGGATGAAGTTTCGTGGAAGATGAAAGTGTGTCTCCTTCGTTGGAGAGATAAATGGCCACGTTCGACATCGACGCCACGTTCGGGGAACAAAGGGATCGATTAGGCGGATACGAAAGCGTTGTAATTAGCGTAATTTGCGATTTCTTCAGCGATAAATGGAGGGGGGGGGGGAGGGCGGGGAGGCGAATAACAGGTAACCGTTGCCGAGCAGGCGTGATCTTCAACCTACGGTATAATTGGCCTGAATGTTTCAAGCGCACCGACGATTATCGACTTATTGCGTCAATTAGTCTTTTCCTTTTCGCGTGTCCACTACCAGCTTCATAAATTAGGAAATAATACGAAACTTGCGAAAGGGTTCTATTTATCTCTGACTTCGCATCGAATTCTTCGAATCTCCTCGAATCCTTCGATTAATTTGTGGAATTTGCCGATTAACCCGTAATCCCCGAAAATAAGAAAAATGTTGGGCAGTTTGTTAAGTCAATCAGTCTCTCTTGTTTTGCATCTTTATGTCACATTTACGATGTGAATTAAGTAACAAACTGCTTCGAATTTTTCTTATTAATTCGTCGTATCCTCGATCGGAAAACAATGGATTGTTTTTTAATCAGTTTGTCTCTGGTTTTACATCGTGTTTGCAAGTTCCAACAGTAAATAACATACAGCTTACGAATGATTTTATTCTATTTACCAATAGAATGTGAAGCTTGATATATTCATTTAGAGAAATTTCGAAATACGTGTGAGAACCTCCGAGATACTCTTTTAATTATTTTCATAAACGTTCGTAGAATGAAATTGAAAATTTCTTTTCGAATTCCTTTAAAGTTCATCGACTAAATCTCTCGCCGATCTTTTCCAATTTTCTAACTCTATAGTAATTCCCCAGTCAGACAATTATAGTCGATTGATCTCTCATTTACCATCATACCATCAATCCTACGTACTGAAAAATGAAGAAACAACATTCTACTTACGAAAGATTCTGTCATATTCAACAGAATTAAATCGCCTACTCAAATTCTTCGAGCAACTCACAGATCACTCTTTACTATTGATCACAGACACGTAGACAATCTCTCCTAATCGCATGTTTCCCAGTCGAAAAATTACAGACAGCCAATCGCGCCAATTAGTCCCGCAGATCCTACAGCGTGAATTAAGAGATAATGTGCAACGTGGAAAAGATTTAAAAAAAAAAAAACGCATGAAAAATTAATTTCTATTAAAAATGATCATAATTACATTTACAACGAACAAAGCTGGCCAGAACAGGGTTCGTTCGTTGATCGTTGATTGCACAAGTCTTTGGTTAAGAAATGTCCCGAAGTCACGAGGCAGCGCGCCACTTGCAGAAGATTTTGTCACGTTGAATCATCTCTTCGGGGGTTCCTCGAATAATTTGCGTGTAATTGTTCGATCGAACTCTCGATCTCTCTTTCTCTCTTCTAATCGTACGAAAAACGGTGGGCGATTAGCCGCGTCATCCTCGCCGGATGAGGCAACCGATCGGCAACAAGTCGAGGCTCCATTCCACGGGTGGGAAAGAGTCACGTTCTCAGGGATTAATACGGTTTCCTCGCGGACGCCTGCACAGACGATGCTTACGGAGCGTGAGCGTGTCGAAGCGAACGTGACCTTTATGACTCGTGATGGTCGCGGAGAAAGATGCGATCTTCGCTGCTCCAATTATCGCGCGCCGATCGATACACCGTGATTTTGTGATTCACCTCGGAATTGGTCCACGCTTCGTGCACCCGCAGACCGCGATGTTTCGGTGCATCGCTACATAACCGATGGCCGCTTCACGATGTTTCCGCGGGCAACCCGTGTGAACCGGCTCCTCTGTTCGTCGTTGTCCTAAGACTCGTTGAGTATGCGGGTGAAGCAATATCAGTCATTGGGTTCTTAAAACATTGCTACGCGAATATTAAAGTACTCTTCAACACGTGAAAAATTGATTCTGTCCGTTCGATAATTTTAATTTCGTTGCAGAGTGGAGTGATTAATTAATATTGATTTTTTTCTTCGACTGACGACTTTGTTAGTCTTCGCGTTCGCTCCATTGTTATATAGAAGGTTCGTAGAGAAAACTCGTCAATTATTCTTTATAACGTTTACAGTTTCTCACGAATGTATTCGAACAAATTTAAGATTCGGTTAAATTTGATACAAATCGAAAGGAACTGCAAGATACTTGATACAGATGTGCTATGTTCGAATCATTTTTAACACCAAATCAATTTGTAATTTTTCGTAAAAATATTCAATATTTAGCAGTATTTTTAAATACGTGTGAATGAACATTTGTGTTATTCATTACTTAATTAATATAATTAATTATAATCTAATTAATGTTCCAACTATTCTTACACACAAATATTCCACAATACTCTAAATATTCCAAAAAGAATATATTGTAATATAAATATAGTATAATTTATACAAAATTATAAAATTTTCATTTCTCTGATACGAGTTTTATATTTAATCGTTAATCTTAGTTTTTTCAATATTTATTACATGTTCAAAGTGGCTCATTCATGGGACATTTTACTAAATATGCTTGCAACGAATATATCTTGTGGTTCCTACATACAGTCCTCATACTTCTATATCACATAACGTTAGAATTCTTCTTTGGTAAGTGTTCGAATACTTCACCACTGGTGTGACTAATTTAATTATCACGGAACTCTGTACCTCGAACGATCTGTTCGGCACGATCTCTTCGTACACCCAGCCATCTAAATTGAAATCAGAAACTTCCCTAAATTACCACCACTCTAGTTCTACGTTTATTAAACCGAGGTAACCTTTAAACGCGCCACTCCGCCATAAATATTCTCTTTGTGTTCGAGCAAGCATCTCGTGAATTCTCACGCTATCCGAATCATTTGAATATTTATATTTGTCGTCGCTGTTGAAAAAAACACACTACCTATATATTCTACTATAGATTCTACGCTGTGGAAGGCACGTAATTGATCTGGATATTCGACACAGGGACGATTCGCGTGGCGTGGCACTTGAAATTTGTAGCCGCGCGAAGCGATCGAGGAGGAACGGCCGGGATTGTGAGCGATCAATGCTAATGGTGAGACTGACATTTGCAGTCATTGTCTGCGCCACGATGCGGACGCAATGCATCGAGATTCTTATGAGAGCAGAACAGCCTACCAGCGGCCGATTCTCGCGTCGTTCTTGCTCCATGTAGCTACGTGTCCGAATCGTTTCCAATTTGGGATCATTCCACATCAAAGTGAGATCGCAACCGGCACGCGAAAGGTTATCCAGTGGCAATCGAATAAAGTTCTCGTGTTTTACACAGCTTTGTTCTTCGTAACAGCGGTTCGATTCTGAAAGTCTCTCTGCGAAATAAGAGGATCATTAGCAAACCTTGGATAAGAAAGAATCGTTTGACAGAATCATTCAAAGAAATTGGAGCATATTTATGACACTACGATGAATCATTATTCAATCATTAATGAATTAATCTA